ATTTATTCAGGTTTTCGTTTCCCCCCCTCCCCCCCCCCAACTGTGGAGCATGTCAAGAATACCAGTGTGGAAAAAGCAGGATTTCTACATATCGGAAGAAAACAAAATAAAGAGTGAAAATGGTTCTTCCTGGAACTTGTTCCAGAAAATCTGAGACGAAAAACAGGATGTCCTACATCCGGAGAAGGTTTGCTAGGAAATGAAGTTCTTCCATTCTGCTCAAGCCACATGAAAACCAACCCTGAAATCCTTTTCTCCACTACATTTAATGCAGTCTTTTCCAGTTTGGTGGCTTTCAAATGCATCAGGTTACAGTTTCCATAACGTTCTAGTTAGGTAGCCCAACCACACTGGCAAGGGGATTTGAACCAAGAGAAGCCTGCCTAGGACCAAACGGATCAATAATTTGCCATTCTACCTGAGGTATATGAAATTATATAGCTGTACACATTTGCTGCTATACCCGAAGAAGTCACCTTTTGGGCTGATGCCAAGAAAACTGCACGTGCTGATCCAGGAGTTACGCTTGACTCAAGGACACCATTAGCTTTATGAATACAGCCCATGCATTCTCTTGTCTGATCCAAATAGGCTAGATGAAGTGGAAATAAATACTGAGGGTTCAAAACTCTATCCGTTCCTTCAAAGTCAGATTCCAGATGTCTCCAGCTGTAAAATGTGAAGGTCAGATATTTTTGCTCTGCTTCAAAATGCAGCTCCCCCCCCACGAAGTTTCCACATACCCATAGTCTTTAAAAATAACCTGCTTTATTTTGATGTTCTTTACAAAGTTGGCCAAATTACCCAATCAGCATGAAGCAACATAGGAATGACACTGCTTTTCCAAGAGGCAATAAGTTCAGGCATCTCCTTAAACCAAGCAATGGCCATTTCTGCTTCTCATTACCTTTGGGGGTGCAGCCTTAGTGCCTCTTTGTGCTACTTAAACATCACTAGCGTCCGTGAGCATTTATGGAAGACCGAAGCATAGCATGTCATGTTCTGGAGGATTTCCTGGGAGTGGGGAAAAGGATGAAGGGATTTGTCTCAAGTTTGTATGGAGAGAGAGGTGAGGCTTAGCACTGAAGAATGAATCACCAAGAAAGAATCCACTGGGTCACCTTAGTTACAGCATGATCAAAACACTCGCCAATCCAGTCCCCTCTTTCATACAGGGGTCAGCCATAACTTGTGGGCAGAGGTCATCCACATGCTGCTTAAGTCCCTACCGTTAAAGAGAGCCTATCTTCTCAAGATGGACTGGTCCACTGTAGAACAGCATTTACTGCTCAGATGTTTCTCCTAATATCTCTCTGTCTTCGTATGCTTCGCCCAGTTAAGGGAGTTATCCCATTTTCTGGATTGGCACAAGACTCTGAACTGTGTACCAATCAGCAGCCTGGGTTTGCATAAAATGCTAAACCACCCCAAAGCATACAAACCCTAATCATGGTTAAAACAAAACAAACATATCATATGTGGCTGTAGCTCTTCAGCTGTCCGTGTTCAAGATGTTATGTGGCTGTAGCCTCTGCTCCTCTGTACTTTTTCACCCACTAATTCAAGTCTTATACTTTACAGCAGTGTTGTCCAAACTTGGCCACTTTAAGATGAGTGGGCTTCAACTCCCAGAATTCCCCAGCCAGCATGGCGGGCT